GAGGCACATCACAGGGATGCACAATAAAGCCAATGGCAAACACTAAAGAAAGGAAGACAGGTATTAATGTTTAAAAAAGGATAGAAATTACTTTCAGAAAAACAAATCAATACAGCAAATGTAAAACCAGAAAGAGCCTCTTTTGGTCGTAAGAGACTTTTAGTGTGTGACGACTACAAAAACTGTTTAGAAAAAGATCTATCCTTTAAATTTACTCTCATTTTGTCATCTTTCATTTATTTCAGTCCATTTGCTCTGACTAAAATGGCATTAAAATAACATTTTAGTGTAATTTAGAACAGTAGAATTTTCTATAATGTAAAAAATTACAAAAAACATACTTTGAACTAAAGTGCTGCTAACTTTAAGGGAATATTAAACATTAAAAAATATTGTTTTACAAATTGAAAAAAGATTGATCAATGTCAATAAAACCAGAGCTCCTGAAATAATAGCACATTATGAGCATACTGAAGTATTAAATGCTGTTTAAATGTTACTGTGTAGTGAAATCTTCGTGAAATTCGTTACAGAATGCTTTACCAATCATTTTCCATGTTTTAGACTGTTTAGGCTATTTGCATTATGCATACCATGCTGTTACGGCAGTCGGACATGACGAAATGAATGACGAGGTTAAGTAAGTGAGTCTGATTAATTCAGTAATAGCTCTAACTGATTGTTAATTCTCTGAAAAGAAAGAGTCATTTCTTTGGAAATCGGACTGGTTGTTTGAGGTTTCTTGCTGGTTTACCGGTTCTTAACATATAGTTCACGATTCCCAGTCATATACCTACAGTATATGGTTTAATTGGGAGGAGAAAAAGTGTAAAAAATGTGTTGTAAGGGCTGGTCTTTCTAAGTTCAGAGCTGTGAGTTAATAGAGGGACAGAGAGAGAGAGAGAGAGAGAAAGAGAGAGAGAGCACCACCACAGAGTCAGAGTTCTCTCAAGGGTCACGCTGTTTGTTATAAGAATAACAATGTCTTTGCCTCGATGCATCAGAGTAGATAGGCATGCAATGTGCTCTGACTGGCCATAGTCAAAACAACTTACATGTACAAGAACAAGCAACACATGGTAACATCATGACATCATGACGTACACTTACATGCCCAGACACTGTACATATAGTAGGGGTGTAACGGTATACAGAAGTCACGGTTCGGGACGTACCTCGGTTTTGGGGTCACGGTTAGATACAAGTTCGCTACAACAGGAAATGTTTTTTTTTTTTTCATTTATTTTGAACAGACAGTAGTGCTGTGCAACATACATGCAGCATAAGCAGTTATTTTTGATTTGAAATAGATTGTATAATTTCAGGATTTATGAGCAAAAACAGAATGGCTGACTTTAGATTTGTGAAATTATGCTACATAAGACACCTGCACAAAACAAAAACAGCAGACTGACTAAACGAAAATGCAAATGTATTCTCTGACAGCAGGTGGTGCTTATGGAACAGCAGTGATATAACGTTTCCTTGGTTACCGCTGTAAACAAAGCAGCTGCGCCTGCGCATACAAACACCACTTTAATATGCATTATATGCAGGTAAGAGGAAAAGAACATGTCATCAAAACATTTCTGAAGATGGTCAGTTCCTCTCAGAGGTACATTAAAGCTTGATCTGCCTGGTACAGTATTTTCTCCACTTTACAGACTTCATACAAATTTCACACAAATTACATTTTGGGAAATGACTGCAATGCAGTTTTTGTTCAATTCTGCAATAGAGATCGAAGTGCTGCACGGGGTATAGGTTCCTTGTCTCGGTGCTCTTTGGGTGCAAGGGATGATTCAACTCGTAAGATTAATAATAGTCCAAGGCACTCGAATCGTATTCAAAAAGTTTTAAAAAGCCTTTATTTCATCATGGCTATAAGTTTAAAAACAGGTGACAAGTGCACACCTACACGACTTTTTGAATAAGATTCGAGTGCCTTGGACTATTATTAATCTTATGAATTAAAACAAAAAACGATTCTGATTTATAGCATCTCTAGATCCCGAAACTTTCCCACACTGCTGATTTAAAACAAGCTGGCGGTTCTTCGAGCCCTTGCGTGCCATCTGAGCTCGCCGTTCTTGTTTTCGGTTGGTGCGTTGATCGTCTCTTCTTCTGCTCTTTCCTGTTGTGACAGTTAGCGGTGCATTACCGTGTGCACCCTTCTGGATTGATCGCCTATGACTGGCTGTATTCGTTGTCTGACTGCATGAAACGAACCGTGACGTCCGAACCGTGACGGTTCAGGACGAATACATGTACTGTTACACCCCTAGCATTCAGTTTAGATATATAAATTAGATGAAAACTTTCAGTGAAAATTTAAGGTCTTGGCAACTAACTGAAAATAATTAAACTAAAACAAATATTAAAAACCAACCCTGCTTGGCTAAACAGTGAACAACCTATAGTAAACACCATATCTACAACAGACATGAGCAACACAACACTACAGGCCAAAACTAAACAAGGGTGTTTCCTGAATTGAAACATCTTAAATTGCAGGAGACTTTGCCCTCAGTTCAATCTCATAGCTGTGTAGGAGAAACAATTAAGGGAAAAAAGTAAAAAACTTTTTCTGTCTTATAGACCACTAACATTAAATGAAATCTTGTAAGTAGATGCTTTCAATCTAAAGTTAAGAGTTTTACTAGACTAGAGATTCACAAGCAGATTACAGCATTGCTTGTCTGCCATTTACATAATTTACTGTAGCTCCACTATGCTCTGAAACTTCCATTTCTCACTGAAGGGCAAAAGGGATGCACTGGACACATTTGCAGGGGAGACACGTGTCTGTATTTTTTCTTCTGGATGGGCCAGGTGTTGCATTCAGATTCCCCTTGAAAGTAGTCCTTTGTCATGCCCTATGTTTTCCTTTTTTTTTTTACGAATTCATTTTGATGAAATGATGGCCGATGCCAAAGTGTCAGGCAGGTGCATCTGGGGTTGATGTCATAAACAGTAGAGGGTGGAGTCTGGCTCCTCCCTTCAAATGTGTCCATCCTTTCACTGCAATATAGGGTTAATCCAACTCAAATTAGCCTTCCCAGAGGTACAGTTCATTACCCTTGTGGGTCGCCTCATAGAAAATCAAGACGGAGAATCCATAACAGCATGTGGAATAACCCCCCGTCCTCTATCCGGCTTGTGTGTGCGTGTCTGTTCCTTTGCACGGTTCTCCGAAGAAGGGTTCGCATGAACGCACAAGCCACCAGAGTAAATGCGAAGTGCTCATGAGGACAGATCAGCTTTTGGAGTGAAAGAGTGAGAGAAAGCGAACGAGGGGGGACTGATTGTACTTTACACAGATAACACACATTCCATTTTCTCCATTTCCCCCGGGAACCCATCTAACAGTGAACGGGAGAGAGAGAGATGGATGAAAAGAAAGCGAAGTAGGCCTCAGAAAGGGCTGCAAATGCTGGTGATTCACTTGAGTGGAGTTGCGTGAGGAGGTGGTGCGGGGTAGGCTGGAGGTTTGGGGGGTTGGGAAGGCGGGAAGATGCTAGACAGGAAAAGCACATTGTCAGATATGATCAGCTCGGTTGGGCCCGGGGCCAGAGACATCTCCAGAACATGCGTCAGAGCTCTCGGAGCACAGACTCATCCTCATCACCCATCCGATCACCTGAAAAAAACTCCAATTTCTCCATGACTAAAATAACCTGTCAGTTTTGTTTGAGCCTTTCAGGTTTTGTCCGAGTGATGAATGGGAATTTATTAAGAGGGCTGCGGGATGTGGGATTGTTTGATGCCTGTCTGTTAGCCAGATGCGGTAGTTGCGCTAGCAAGCGAGCATCTATGAACTTCAGACAGGTCTTCAGGAGGGAAAAGCCATATGTCTTCATTTAAAGGCTTTCTCGAGGTTGTCATCAGTCATTAGGACATGTGGCCCCTCTCGCTTCTCAACTCCCTACTATTCAAACAAGAAACAGTCATTTGTTTTAGACTCAACATCTGTGTGATTAGCTTTCCCTTTAGCCTTGTCGATAATCACGTCGGGCTGACATTTATTTCATTTTCATATTTGTCTTTGAACACCTTGCATCAAAGAAAACCAGCGCACGGTGCACGTCTGAAACAAATGGCTTTGAAATTGGCCCAAACGGATGTCAAAGAACAACAGAATAACCCCATCATCGCAGGTTCACATCTGTGCAAATGCACATCTGGAGGAAAACAGCTGTTTTACTACAGACGAGACATACTTCAATGGAGCAACGTGATGCTGTTTTTCAGCGGTGTATAAAAAGCCTTCTGCTTGTGTTCTTGTGTCTAGACAGCAGAATAAACCAAACTATTGAGTCTCAGGAAAATTGCTCTGAAAGCTTTGGTAAAAAGACAGTTGCTAATGATAATGGCTAGTACAGAAAGAATGCAGACCTGAGGGTTCTGTTTGTACGGAAATGTAAGTGATGCAACGCTGTTCTTTGTTTGTTCTTTTCATGCGTGTAAAAAATCTGGAATAAAAGGATGCAGGGCACTGAAGATTATACGGACAGATGACAAAAATCAACAATTTTCCGGGGCTCTGAAAAAATCTACTGATCCTTCCTCAATTGTTATTATAGACAGCCCTATTATAATGCTTTCGTAGCTATTATATATAGTGTCATATTAAGGCTCATATGACACTGAATACTGGAGTAATGGCTGATGAAAATTCAGATTTGCCATCAAAGGAATAAATTACATTTTAAAACATATTAAAAATAGAATACAGTGCTTTTAAATTGTAATAATATTTCACAACATTACAGATTTACAGTATTTTTAATGAAAAAATAAGCCTTGGTGAGCATAATACACTTTCAAAACCAATAAAAAAAAATAATCTTACCGACCCCGAACTTTTGAACGGTTATGTGCATTAAAATTTATCCAAATGAGAAAAATAAATGCTCTGTAATAACAAGAAGATGAGAGGGGTTGGGCGTGGCTTATTAATGCAATTAGGTCTTCAGTGGGTGTGGTTATTGAGCTCCCACCTCAATCTGCAGCAGTGCTTCTTCTCTCTGCCTCAGGATCTCCACATCTTCTTCACTGATCTCTGACAGGATTGCTTGTCCGTCACCCTCAATGCCCTCCCCCGCTCCGAACAACGGCCCCTCTTCAACCAGTTCACTGAATGGAGTCTGTAGGCTCAATCCACACACACACACACACACACAAAGAGAGATACCATTTCTTAAAATATTTAAGAGTACATACAATCCTCAGATTCAGCACTAGATGAGCTCATTGTTTTAGCGCATGATATGTGTATGTATGTATGTATGTATATATATTAGTGCTGTCAAATGATTAATACAATTTTATATACATAATAAATATACACAGTACACATATTTTGGATGTGATTAATCATGATTAATCGTTTGACACACACACACTCACTTTCAATTAGAATTCCAACTTCTACTACAATTTCTACAATAAAGCAGCTCTCCAGTGTGTTCATGTTTTCATTCGCAAATGTCTGACCTCCACAGACTAAACAGAGCAAATTTACACTCAAATTTCCACGTTAAAGAAGGCAGAGCCCCAGAGCACTATAACGTAATTGCCACGGACCAATGGTAGTTTGAAGATGTTTACCGGCCGGAGCAAACTTTTCTGGAAAGTTTGCTTTGGCAAGCTGTTTCAAACAAACAAACGTCATTTTGTCCTGACTTCGTTCAAAATTACATGTTCTTCGGTTTCGCTTGAATTATATCGGGGCCTTAAGGTCAGTCGACCTTTTAAGTTTATCTCTGGACAGCTACTTCATTAAAAATGATTTCTTGCAGTTATTCTAACATTAATTTTAAAGTGTACCATAGTAGTATTTAATCAAAGGATGACTCTATACTCATGCCCTGAATACTCACTGACCCCAAATCCGCCTCTGCTCAGATTGTCAGAGGATCAGAGCATTGCGGATTTTTACAGACGTGGACCTGACTTTGGTGAAACTTCTATATGTGACCCTGAACCACAAAATCAGTAATAAGGGTCAAATTTTTTTTTTTAATTGATATTTATATATTTTCTGAAAGTTGAATAAATAAGCTTTTCATTGATGTATGGTTTGTTATGATAGGACAATATTTGGCCGAGATACAACTATTTGAAAATCTGGAATCTGAGGGTGCAAAAAAATCAAAATACTGAGAAAATCGCCTTGAAAGTTGTCCAAATGAAGTTCTTAGCAATGCATATTACTAAACAAAAATTAAGTTTTGATATATTTACGGTAAGAAATTTACAAAATATCTTCATGGAACATGATCTTTACTTAATATCCTAATGATTTTTGGCATAAAAGAAAAATCGATAATTTTGACCCATACAATGTTTTTTTGGCTATTGCTACAAATATACCCCAGCGACTTAAGACTGGTTTTGTGGTCCAGGGTCACATATTAGAAGTGACACAACTTTCCTTGAGATCCATTTGTAAGCATCTTATATAACAGCAAAGCACTGACATTTCACGGCTGTGGAGAATATAATACAATGATAATGACTCGCCACCTCATACTGCAGCAAAAGAATCACAAAGGAAGCGCCCGCCGCCTTTGTTAGTCATTTAGGTTGAACTCTCTGTCAGCCTGAAGGTTGAAGAGGTGGGAGTTGGTCACTTAGAGAGAGCCACATTGATCTGCTAATTTCTCAACTTGCATATGCATGACATCGATAAAGGCCCGAGGCGTGCTATTATTTTTTGTAATGTGTTGGATGACTCACTGTATTCTTCCCTCTCAGAATTAACACATCCAATACATCTCGGTCCAGCACAATGCCACTCTGAGAACATCATCTTCTTTGCTCGGTTGATGTAGTCCCACTCACTGAGGATATCATTGTATTAGGTCATAGAGTGGCTTGTAGATGGAGTTTTTTCTCGTCTACTGACAAGATGTACAACATAAATTATCCTTTAATCTGCATTCGTATCTCGGATGCATAATTTGCCCTGAAATTAAGTCTAAAATATATTATATTCTAAATATAACTGAATTTTAATGAACTTTACCTCATTCAAAAATAAGCCCATTACCATTATATTCCTTCAAAAATGTAATTGGGCTTATTTAAACCTTATTTCAAATTTAGAATATATACAGTACAATAAAATTTGCTTTAAATTCCCTCAAAATTCATACGTGATTCCCTATGAGAGAGAGGGGGGTCTCCTATAAAGTCAACGGATCCACATCACATTAAGTCATATCAGCATGACTCATTCAATAGATAGGATAGGATATTCCTAGTTTAAGATGTTTATTCGGAAATGTCTCAGTAATCTAAATTCTCTGGAGGATAAGTTCTATTATGTAATGTACCTCTGATTTGAAGACTTTCACACATATCGCAGTAATTTTAATACATTTTTGCAGGTTGTTCAAATAGACGTCAGCAGTCTTTGAGTGTTTGACGCTGAGCGATGGTTTAATTATAGCAAAGAGCAAGTTATTTACATCAGTGGAGCCATTTTTTCCGCCAGTCAATCCAAAGACAGAGCATCCTGACCCCATCTTGTTTCTCTTCTCTTGAAATGATAGGTCTCAGGAGGATATTTCTAACATTTTTGTTTCTTTTGTCAGAAGAGCAAAAGGTTAAACAAGTGAGAAAGACAATTACGTTTCTTCTCTAATTGTTAGCGTATGGTTTGCTGCTGTAGAAGTGGGAACTCTCACATTAACACATTCAGATTTAAATGAGCGCAACTAGCATTAAACACTTTTCTATTATTTTTGTATGTTGACCCATATTGTGGGATGCAATGAAAGTGTGGAAATGGAAAAAGCAAGAGTTTGCACCCAAACTTAAATGAATAACTCTGAACAAACTGATGCAAAATAATTCCTTTAACACATAAATTGATTTTGTCTGTAGCCTGTTTTGTATTAGTACTCAACAAGCTATGGAAGCATGACATAAAGTTTAAGATATAAAGAGTTAAAATTGCTAGATAAAATAACAACTACAAAAAAAGGAAATGAAAAGAAATTAAAGAAAGAAATATAATAACAATATAACAAGTAAATTCATAATTCTTAATTACTTATTTATAGAAACAGCTCCCATAACATTCATCACATTGTTATTCTTTTTATTCAACACAATGGGAAGTGAGCCTATACCTATAAAAAAAATTACACTTGATGTTGAGAAATCCATTTAAACATATGTATTATCAAGAATACTTTAATGAAAGCCTATACCACTGTGATTTTCTGTTCATAATAGTGAGTCACCTTCATGAATCATATTACAGATTGGCAGCGCTGACAACAAACCCTGTTCTCAAACTCAAGCGAAAAAAAAAAGACTCCGGCAAAACCTGGCGATCAAACAATTCCTTAATAACGTCTTACTCTTGACTAACAACTCAGCATGTTGTTTGTTTTGGATGTGTTCTTGGCATTCATATTGGAACTACACATCATGTTTGATTGCTCTGGTCGGGTGTTTCCAGGGGGGATTGTAGAAGGAGACAGAAGATCAGAGACATTGCCGCAGGTGACAGAGTCTCACATAAAAGCAGCTTCTCTAGCGAGTGACAGGAAGGATGGGAATAGAATAAAAGAAGGATTTTAACAGACCTCAGACTGTAAGACAGGAGCGTGTATGTGCTATAGTCACATACAGCTGAGCCAATCTGAGCTGCTGATGTGCTGCAGGTTATATTGAACACAATTCCTATCATTCAGTCAACACTTTCAATCATCAGTACATCCTTGAGCCAACTCAGATGAACTGAAAATTGAAGTTTGATGGAATCTGAAAAAAAAATAAATGTGTGGTGGTGGAGATGTCAGTTTCAGTGCATTTCATCAAATGAAACTCCTCCAATGAGCATGAACATCACTAGGACTGTTATCTGTGGTCATTCTCAAGACATCTTGTTTCTTCTCCACAAGATGTTTTCTTTTTGTTCTCAAAGTGAAACCCAGTTTAAAGATATCACTGGGAAAAAACTGGGGTTAAAGGAATAGTTTACTCAAAAATGGCAATTATGTCATCATTTTCCTGCCTTAACATCACTTCAAACCTATATGACTTACTTTATAAAAAATTTCACTCACTGTAAACTCTCTCTTCCATATAAAAGTGAATGGGGTCCAAGATGACAAAAAAAAAAAATTATACTCCATAGAAGTATACAAAAGAAAAAAGTGTACTTTAAAATACAAGTCAAATGATAAATTTGTGTGTGGCATGACAGGTTAAGTGTCACAATATCAAGGTGAGATTATTAGTCGTCACTGACATCAAACCCGACATCTAATGGCACCATATTAGATTTTAAAAAAAAGATTTAATGTGATCATATTCACAAATTTACCCCCAGAATATTTTGCTGTATGGATATGTAAACAGTGAATTAATAAATAAATACATTAGTTTAATTTATTCTTTTTTAGCAGCATTTGGGTAAGTCCGATTAAAATTTTTTAAAATATTTTTAACTTCACACACACACACACACACACACACACACACACGTGTGTGTGTGTGTGTGTGCGAAGTTTGAAATGTTCAGTGTTTTTTTATTGGTAACATTAAGTTTTGATTTATATGCTGTTGAATGTTTGGTGATCATGTTAGCTTAACAAATGTGTAAACAACTTCAGTCCACTGGTATACAAAGGTTTTCTGGTTACGCTGATCTTCTTTTTCGGTTGTTTTTGGATCTGAAGATGATGCATTTCAGAAGATCCATAACAATGTGAAAACACAGGTTGCCGGAATAATTCAATGGCAATGTGTCATAAATTATGGAAAATCTTGTCAATGGTGGAGAAAGAGTTATGGTTAGGGTTAAGTTTAGGGTTAATTAATATAAACTTATATGTTTTTTTTTATTTTATTTTATGGCTGAACATCCCGAATTTCCTATGACTTTCATGTATCTGATCTTGTGGATCTATATTCCTTCCAGCCCTGATCTTTGACCACCTTCTGACTGCCAGGGCTGCACATTCGGTACCACAAGCCTAGTGGTTCCAAACAAACTTCATAAGAGGACTGAGGTTTGTAAGTGTCATGAAGTTCTGACTGTCAATATCTGACCTGCTAGAAAATGAAGTGGTGAGAAAAGAGGGGCATCAAAGAGCTCCTCATCCACACGCAATCACACACACACAGTCACAATCTTTATCTTACTGTCACAGGGATGTCGAAGAGCTCATGAAAGAACAAAGAGGAAGAAGTGGACTCTCTCTGGACTAGATATTGAAGCCCACTCACCTGTTTCCTGTCCTTTTGTGCAGGAGGAAGCAAGGCCCTCGAACGATCTGCAATTTTCTGTCAGAGAGGAGAAAAAAATTACATTAATATGCAAATACACCCAGACATGTGACAGCAGCTGAGCTAAGGAGAAGTTCAGTGGATTCTTTTTTCACTGGTTTACATTATTACTGCATGAATGGGCTGCACAGATACAGTAGAGGAGACTGGGGACTATTTTAAAACTAAATTTCTTCGAACACAAACATACAGTGTTGACACTTGTTCAGCACATGCTCAATAGAGTTATTTCTCTGCCTGGGAAAAAAGTGCAATTGCTTCACTTTGTGAGAAACAACTAGTTAGAAAGCATATTAGAAAGAAAAACAAATAAATACATAAAAAATAAAAACAACTTAATATAGATCCCAATTAGTCTTTTGCTTTATTTTTATGTATACTGTAAAAAAAATATTTTTCAAAGTTGTAAATAAAACAAAAATTATTAAAGTATGTTTTACAAGAAAATACAATTGAAGTTTTTCAGTGGGTTACTTGCCGTTTCTTTGTAATTGTTTGTGAAATTTACTAGCATATTTTGAGTGAAAATTCTACAACACATTTACTTTTTCTTTACAGGTAAAAGAGAAAAATATTCAGTAATATTAATTTACATTATTTTAATAGCTTGATGTGTGCTCTCATTTCAGAAATTAATACAAAATATTTTCAAATGTCACAATTGTGACAATGTGAGTAACTTGTATTAAATTTGATATTATGATAGTCTATAAATGATATAGTTACATTTGGCACATATATTTATATACATATTTACATATATACAAATTGTCTCATACATCATTATATATTTCTCACATAATGAAAAAAAAATAATAATAATGGTACAATTTCTCCCCAAATTTTCAAGATTGACAGCTGCTGCAGAAACTCTTACTGTCCTAACCACATGTGTTATTTTGTGGACAAATAAAGGAAAGCCAGTGTTTCATGTGTACCTTCTGCAGGTCTCCATATCGCTGCACAGAGTCCGATAGCTCTGTTTTGAGTCTCGTCAGACGGAGCCTGTCTTGCTGCGAGGAAACAAAAGAGCATGATTTTAAAATGAACGCTGGTTCAGTTAAATATCACCATAACTTTACTGTGACATTTTATTTTTGTGAGTACAAATGCCAGTGGAATGCTTCATGATAAACCAACATCACTGCCTAAACATATATAAGGGCGATTGTTCCAGAAACAAAAGAAAAATGAGAGATTTAGAAAATATTTATTTTACCCGTGAAGACCCGCTGATGATGTCAGTGAGTTGTTTAACAAGTTGGCTTGTGCTTGTTATGGCTTTATTGGTTTGCTGCTGTGTGGAATGTCTGAAACAGAGGAAGAAGAGCGAGAGGGGTGAAAAGATAGGTAATCATGCTTTACAAACCACAGAAGATGATTCAAAACGATTCACCAACTATCTCCAAGGTGCAATGCTCTCCAAGCTGGGCTAGGTTTACAGCCCTATTGGATGGATTAGGCTCAACCAATTAAGTAAATCAATATTAATCACCGTGCGACAGAGGAACAGCATTGTGCAGTGAGTGACTGTGTGTCATGGCTGCAGAGCTCACATGATGTCAGGAAGGCTTTAGGCTCCAGGCAGGAGTCAATCTGCCGCCCCGGAGGAGAAGCAAAGGATTAGACGTTGTTGTGTACAGAGACAGCAAATCAAATGGAGGAAAGGTAGTACAGTACAATTAGAGGTTTGCTGTACTAAATGTATTAATAGAGCAGATGAAATCAAGATTGCATAAATTGGGCTTATAGAGAGCAATGTTTATGATTGCACAAATAAAGGAGAAGAAAGGGAAGCAGAAGACTATGTGAAGGACAGAACCAATCCACAGGGCTGTCTAGCATTTGCCCAAGGCCCCAGACCAACAGGGGGCCCTAAAGGGTTACAGAAACGGTTCATATTTACTAGACTTCACGACTGAGAGACATTCATATTTTAATTGAGAACCAATTCCAAGACTTTGAACTGAATTTGAATTAGCATAGCAAACAGGATGCAGAACTGCAGTTAAAATTTGAATGGAAGTAGACTTAACATGAAACGAAATTCAAACTAATTCATAACTATATGAGCAAAGTTTTTCAAATTTCGAATGGTGGCTTGACAAAAAGTTTTATAGTTTAAAAAGCTTTTTGATTCAATTTGATTCAAATTCACATTCACGAATCGAAAGGAAGCCAAATCTTTAATTGCAAAATTTGCCCATCCCTGCTAGTTTTGTAGCTTATGTTTAAAATATGTACTGTTTTATGCCAAATAACAGAAATGTCAAGTTTAGGTGCTTTGGCAAGTTAAAAACATTTGACATGTCGCACATTGAATTAATGTCTATTTTAAACCAGTGACCAATCAAAGCAATCTAGGGTTAGGATAAATGCTGTATGGGATTTCATGCACCCATAAACGCGCCTTTGGTTCACTTCTATTCCTCCGTCTAGCCGTTTTTAACGCTAGAATGCCTCCTGTGTGAAGGGCCCCTGAAACATCCATGCCCTGGGTACGTCAATGTCATAATCCATCTCTGGAATCAGGGTGAAAAAAGAGGAAACATGGCCTGAAAAAGGCTGGAAAGCAGGCAAAAATTAAGAGAATTAAAGATGTCGAAAACTTGAGCTTGGCTATTTGCAGTTCTGAGCTGGATGGAAGATATATGGGAAAAAGGGGCCAACGGGTCAGAAGCTCGTGAACAAATATAATCTCCTGATAGTAATTCCGTTTTCTCCTCATGCGGACCAAGGGGTTTGGATAAGACCATTGATTTAGTGTCTGTGCCCTGCTCCGTCTGATCCCTTCCTTTAAAACCCAAACCAAGACCACCAGCCAGAGTGCCTCCTGCTCCCCAGAGATATGTGGCGGTGAACGTGGGGCCCACCTCCCACTCAAATATTGATTTAAAAAGCGAGGATAGAAAAGAGGAGAGAGGCGTCAGGCAGAAACATCTCTAGTGCATTCATTATAGGTGGGGGCATGTCACTGTCGTTCTCAGTCCACGAGAGAGAAACGAGACCAGTCGAGCGGAAAAGCACCTGGAACAATAGAGGCAGCAGCAGTCGTGCTGTGTGAACAAAAAAGGCAAAGGTCCACAGTGAACGTTCTAATCACACGCCAGAGAATAGGCGAACGTGGCTGAGCAGTTCAACCATAAAGCTTGACTTTGGGCACTTTTTTAACGTGATCAGTCTGTTTCAAGGCTGAACATGAGCAATGACTCACTCCTCTACAGTTCTGCATGCATGGACTTAATATTGCTGGCTGAGATTTTTGGAGAGACCATAGCTTCTCCTGCCTGGAAGTGTATTACAATGATGGTTAAAATGTAAAAACTTCTTTTTTTTTTTCTCCCCTCCAGTACTTTTCATTTGAGAACCCCTCCTGGCATTGCTAAATAGGTTGGCATTGGGTTTTAGGGCACGGTTGATAGTGCCTTGTTGCGTCATTCCCAGGAGTGGTGAATTAATAGCTGATATATCCGTCGCTGACAGGTCATCACTTCTCTATAAACTCGGCGGACAGTCTGAGTATTAAAATAATAGTTCACTCAAAAATTAAAATTCATATTCACCCCTCATATCATTCCAAACATGTAAAACTGAAGTTCTTATGAGGATCACAAAAGAGGAAATTCTTAATCCGACGCAGGATTATATTTTGCATACAATTACAATGAATCAGAAGCATAAAAGCATAATATGAAAATGTTGTCAGACAGACCAAAATTTTTAGGCCATGAAAACAGTGATTTCATACAGGTCTGGAACAACATGGTGAGTCAGCAATGACAGATATTGTGAACTATACCTTTAAGAAGGCGACAGTTTGAAAATCACAGGGATCACATGCACCAACACAACACTGTCTGAGGCACAACAGGTCAGCGTGGCATCATTTGCATATGTGTTATGCCATTGCCAATGTCACATTAGCGGCAGTTAACCTGGTGCCCGAGATAACAGAACATAAATGTCCTCAGTGAAATGCAGTTGACTGACAGAACTGGAGAATATTCAACAAAGAAACAGAGGCAGAAAAGACTAGGGAAAAATACAAAAGACCAGAAGGACAAGGCCAGACCACAGAAGACTTTCTTTGCTCTATTTAAAACCAATTGGAGGACAGAAGAAAGTCCCATGAAGACAAAAAAAAAAAGGAAATAAACCTGTGGTGAGAGACATTTTTGCTGTCTGTGACAAAATAAAAATGTAACTGCTATAAATCGTTTTATATCTCAACAATAATGCCTTGGTTTAGTCATGGCACTTGTACAAATAAAGCCCTTTGAAACGTCCATGATTCAACCTCATTATATTGCACAGTGTGATCCACTGAACACCTTCAATACTCCCTCAATTACAGCTTCCTGTGTTCCCTCAACACGTGAAACTCAATATGCCCTACACAATCTCAAGGGTCACCACGTAGCGGTGGAAAAGTTTGGTTATTACTCATCCCTCATATTCAAAACCCAGCAGTTTATTTCCCCAAAGGCTGTTTAGTCATAGTCCGCATTTAGCATGTTTTGTGTCTGTCGAGTCGGCGGAGGAGCATCTGAATCCTCCTCTGCTTTGACTGGCTACGGCCATCTTCAACCTGAAGCCCTGGAGAACTGAACAGAGACTGAGTCACTGCTACAGCGGAGGTGGGTTGCTACTGGAGATCATCAAATGAATCTACGAGAAGATGGAAAATGAGGAGGCCAAGGCCAAACAAACACGAAACAGATGGTAATGACACCATCAGAAGCTTTCAGATGGAAAAATGTCAGATGTTCACTTACCCTCTAAAATAAATAAAAGGTTCAAAGAAGGGGTTTTCACAGCAATGCCATAGAAGAACCATTTTTCAGGTTCTCCAAAGAACGTTTTGGTGAACAATTCTTAAAATAACCTTTTTTTTTTAATGTGAAGGACATATTAATAATCTAAAGAACTATAAAGAACCTTTTGTGGAATTGAAAGACTCCATGAATGTTCTTAATTGAAGCATTGATGCCAATAAAGAACCTGTATTACAAAGTTCACACATGTTGGTATAGGTGGTTTACACATAAACTAAACATGAATTTAATAATTAATTCAAAACTAAGGTATGTAAGGTGTAAGGAGTATACACAAAAAAATAAAAACAAAACAAGACTTAACATACAAAAATCCTACCCTGAGAAAAGTCACTGGAGTAAAAAGTGCGACAACTTGCCCCAGTCTCCCCCTCTGCGCAGTTCTGCAATACCTCACACAACTTGACAGACAAAAGTATAAAACTTTGTAATTCAACGCTGCCTTGCATAACCTGAACAATACAAATCGAATTTCAAATCCTGACTGGTAACCTGTAGGTCAGAATATAACACAAAGATACTTGTGAAAGTGACTCAAAAGCTACTTCTCTCCCTCAGATGTGTGATGTACTGAGGTCATGCTGTGTGAAGTCTATAGGGTATTTACTTTTGTGAGATTTTATTTCGTTTTAGACAGCTGTGTAAGGAACACAAGGTTTTTCTTTCGTAAGGTGTTTCATTGCATTTCTCACATCACTTCCTCTCTGTACTGCTCAGCTTGTTTCTCAGCCATACAGTATTTACTGCCTGGTTTTATAGACTTATTTCTATAAAAGCTTCTTATTATTTGACAATTTCTAAACAAAATTTTGCAAGGCTATATATATATATATATATACAGGTGCATCTCAATAAATTAGAATGTCGTGGAAAAGTTAATTTATTTCAGTAATTCAACTCAAATTGTGAAACTCGTGTATTAAATAAATTCAGTGCACACAGACTGAAGTAGTTTAAGTCTTTGGTTCTTTTAATTGTGATGATTTTGGCTCACATTTAACAAAAACCCACTATTCTAATTTGTTGAGATAGTGAGTTGGTGGGTTTTTGTTAAATGTGAGCCAAAATCATCACAATTAAAAGAACCAAAGACTTAAACTACTTCAGTCTGTGTGCATTGAATTTATTTAATACACGAGTTTCACAATTTGAGTTGAATTACTGAAATAAATGAACTTTTCCACGACATTCTAATTTATTGAGATGCACCTGTATATATATATACACACACACACACACACTGTATATATGGTTTAAAAGAGAACGTTGCTGCTCATGCACGTTACTGCACTTCATTATATTCGGCACTGTTAACGCTGCAGTGAAAAATTATGAGACCACATTTATGACTACTCTGTTAGTAAAAAGGTCAGTCCGGGTCTTATAGCCCAAGATCAAGAGAACCAAGAATCATATATGAATCATATTGCACCATGAATGCATTCAAAATCTAATAAACACTGTTCTATTTTTTG